GCCTTGAAACAATTTCTTTTCTATTACAGTCAGACTGTGTAACCTTGAATGATTTTCAAGTAATGTTTCAAATGCCTCACTCTGTATATTTGTGGATTAATGAGATATTTGAAGAGTGCCTTGAAACAATTTATTTTTCATTGCAGTCAACCAGTATAAGTCAACCAGTATTTGAGCGATCTTCAATTATAGATCATTGTATTCGTTTTGAAACACTGTATATCAGAATGTGTATAAGAAACTATATCATTCTATTTGAAAAACCAGAGTCAAATGCCCTTCTCTTCATATATCTCTTCTCTGCTTCCACCGATAAAAAAGTTATTGGCACCACGTTACGTGCCCCTCGAAATCAAACAACTCTTGCTCGATACTTCTTTTTCTATCGCTAAAAGTAAACGAACTATTCAGGTGTCCTGCTTTAAATGCTTCACCTTGTGTAGGGATTCGAATTCAGCTGATCAGGATTCGCAACTGTTAGCATATAAGATGGCTGCTTTCTACCCGTTCGTCCACGATTATTTTTTCCGCTCTCCAGGGTGCCGTGCACGTCCCTTCGCGTCTATTCTTCCTGATTTTGTCTTCGTCCTTTCGACGGGTCCGCGGTGGTGGATCCTTTTATGCGCAGCCGTCGTCGCGCGAAGAGCGTTAAAAGGAAACTAAAGACGCGCTGGATGATAATAATCATCGTCGCGCGTAATGACGATGATAAAGGAGACGATAATGGGCCAAGCAGCAGGGGAGAGCGACCGGAGGGAATGGGCTCCAGAGAAACGCTAATGGCGGAGTCAGAGATCTCGTCCTGTTTAATTATTTTGGTTCCCGCGTCGCGCGTCCGCCTTTTCTCCCGCGATCTTCGCGAAGAGATTCCCGCGGACTGCGAAATATGAAACCGAAATTAGTCATCGACGCGTTCGCTACAATTTTCGTTATTCGAAATGTATTTCGCCGTTCCAAGAGTCAGAAGGGCTTGCCCGACCATTTCAGCAATTATTACAATCATCCTTTCCCATAGAAGTGTTAACCCTCAGTGATCGACACATTTTTCTGGTGGTTCTAGCTGGTAGCCAAGGTATCAGAGCATTGTAAAAACATTGCTCGGTGCGAACGAAGGCGATTAATTTCAAAAAGCTGTAAATACGCAATGGGTGAACGGTCGCATTTACAAACATTGCATAGGTGTTCATCTAAAAACTGTAAGCAGGTGATAGGCGAACGCTCTAGAAAAAAAACAATAGTTGTGTGCAAGCGAGAGAGAATGGAGGGTTCGGTAACCACGGACTGTCGGTGTAATCTGACTGTCAAAGTGTGGATGAATAATAATATAAATACGAGGCGAACATGGTGTATAATAAACAGGAGAAGAGTGCGTAAGAGTCGAGATAATTATAATGAAGTCATTTTAGTTTTAAAATTCAAGTAAGCGTTTCTACCGACCATTTCGATCCACATCTTTCCTACAATATTGTAATTTAACACATTCACGCCGGCGCTGCCAGTTGTGTTTCTTACTATGAGGCGGCGCGGTGCTACACGTCATCTGTTAGACACGCGAGCGCGAGCCACTGGTGGTACACGCCGGCGTGAACGTGTTAACCTTTTATTTATTAAATTTCTCAAAAGTTTTTTAAATCTATGCGTTCATCTTGGTCTTATGTCATCATACAGAGTTGTTTCTAACAAGCATCCAAAAAAAAGGCTTGTGCTGCCATCCAACAATTAAAAGCAAACTTCATAGACTTCATAGAACTTCATGGAACTTCATACAGTATCAATATAGCAATACAATACTTCGTTCATTCGACAGCTGAGATTTAGTCGACGCGCAATCTGTTAAATTTAACCAACTAAATTACCTTTAAAAAAAGTAAATTGTAAATTATCGGTAAACATGGACTCCATAATTACCATTGAAAGTTTCAAGGGAATTTGCATAATTCACGCGCGGCAATCTCCAGTTTTGGATTGTTTTGTCGACGAGCGAGAGACACGTCGATGCCGGGGGCTGAACGGTTAGCGGAACGTTGATGGAATTCGTCGCGAGAACGACAAGAAAACGAGGGAACTACGCGGGCCGAACTCTGAAAGACTAAACGGCACGTCGAAAAAAACGGGCGGAACAAATAGACGAAAAGCTGGAAGCGGCGCTGGATGGAGAACGTTGGCCAGGAGGGGAACGAAGAAAGCGGCCATACACGCCGGAGAGAATGGTAGAGTGGTTCTCGAGCCTCCGGCGATCGGAAAGTATCACGGAAATGCGTCCTCGAGAGAGGATTTTTGACGTGTTCCAGCGTCAGGCGTCGCCGCAAGTCGTCTCGAGACGTCTCGCGCTTGGAAAAGAGATTGAAATTCTGCAGGCACGCACGCCAGTTTTCCGATAATCTTATAAGCAAAATCTTTCTTCCTGTTTCGCGGTATCGCTATTCGCCAGCCGCGACTGGTGGCGTTATGCGATTTCGAGCGAGCCAATAAACACCCTAATTTCTCAATTTCGACGCGAAGCAACTGGTTGACGCGCTCACGAGACGAAAGTGGAGCATGCAAGTCGTCGAGAGATATTTTGTAGGAGTCTTTTCTGGTATTGAACTTAGGGGAATAGTACCCTGTTTGTATTTGCCGTTTGCAATTACCAAATAGGTAGCTATTATACATCACTCAGAAATAGGTTGTAAGACTTTTCATTAATTCTTCGATGCACACGATTATGAAACGAAAATAAAATTCAAGCTGGAAGCTCAGTGTCAACAACTTGCTAACGCGTTTTGACTTATATATACAGTCAGTGTAATAAGTATTCGTACAGGAACCAATTCAAAATAAAACTTCATATATTTTTATTTTATTAATAAATTGTAGTGAAAGAAATAATTAACCAACATTCCTATTTTTAGAGTAGAATTTTCATAAATTGAAGTTCATTATTTTCAATGTTAACCTCTTATTTCTTTTCTTATTAATCTTATTTTAAATTGGTTGCTGTACGAATACTTCTTGCACTGACTGTATATTTCTGATTCCATTAAGGTGGATCTTTCCCAACTGTACTAGTCAAAACAAAACTCAAATACAGAAAGGATTAATAACGATATATTTTCTATAATAAAATTCTTAAATTATTATTTGATTATGATTTTTAATAAAAAAAAGTAGTAATTGATACAATTAGAGTTGCAATTAGTTTTGCAAGTACCATTTTATGCAACGTAGTATTTGTGTCTAATTTCGCATTTCGATTTTCGTTGGGTTTAACAAGATTGAACAATTTTTAATTATTATGTTTTAAAATTTTAAATTTTGCCACGTGGCCGACTTCTTTTTCTAAACACGCAAATTTGTCGAAATTGAAATATGTTACTCTACACTTATTTATGTCCTCAGGGGCTGTAGCATGCGAATATGCAGCTACAGTACGGGCTTAGCAACCCCGGAGTACCTCAGCTAGATGGGGGTAAATAAGAGACTGTAATATTAATCAATTCACTTGTTCTTGGACTATCTATTTTCAAAAATACACTAGCAGGTACATGTAACTCGTTGACCATTAGTAGTCTAGTGCTAAAATAAATTACACAAGTGATATTCATTTTACAAGTGTATTAAAATGTTAGTTTTGGGAAGATTTTGTGTCTTTTCCTTCAATTATGTTACATCGAGGAAAGCTGGTTATAACTTCTCCAATAATTAATATTTTTCAAAGAGATTTTTAAGACAGGAACAAATCACTTTTTCGTATCATAATTTACACAAAGATCACACGCAATCCTTGTCTTTGATGCGTTGGTTGACCTTTTTGGTTTTATAAACGCAATAGACTTTGCGGAAAACGTACACTGGTAACTGTCCAGTTTCCTAGCTTCTATTTTAATAATATGCAACCAGTGGTTCTTAATTTTTGTTATTAAAAAATAAAAATTAGGCTTTCCACGCACAGTAACATATTATCGTCGTTAATACGTTGGTATTTATTCTTCAGAGGATATGCATGAAAACAATTGGCATACTCTCAGTAAACTACACTTAAGAATCGAACTTATACCTCATCGCTCTAACGTATACACAAATCTAGTATACGTATCGACAAAATAAAACAATAAATTGAAAACATACCGAGGTATCCTTACTCGAAAAAAAATCAATATACATCTGTACATACGTATCTGTATATGTGAGTTAATCGAAGTCAATAATGAATAATTTTCAAAAACATTTTCAAGACACTAAATTACTTTTCCATTTCATAATATACACAAATAATTAATAAACACAAGATGTTGAATTCTAATCGGTCGCGTAGTCCCCCCCCCCCCCTCAAAAGTCTCGAGTATCATCTATTTCTGGGCCCGTTACATCGAACCCTTGAAAGATTTATAAATAAAAAAGGAACGAGTCTACGATCGATCGACCGAGTCAATATCCCGGTAACGTTGTAAACTCTAATGCAGCGATCCTCGGTGTTCTTGAACCTTTTCCCTCGTCGTCTGACAGGAATCTATGCTGGTCGAATTTCGGTGACGAGTAAAATGTAATAAATTTCGTATTCACCGAGGCGAACAGCGACGCGGTTCGCGGAGGACTCGCGTCGCAACGCTCGCGGCCAAGAAGAAACGCCGTAAATACTTGAGATCGTTTGAATACATTCGGGAACTTCGTCCCGATCGAATTTCCTTTTCCTGGGTGGGAGCACAATGAAAGGCACAAAAGTTCGGCTCTCGCCGCTCGTTAAAGTAAATTTTCATACGCCCAGCCGATCCAGGTCACCCTTCACCTCTACGACTCGCGGTGTTACGGAATATTTCCCAAAAAAAAAGAAAAAGGCTAGACGGGGTGGGAAGTTGACAAAAGAATCGCGATGGATGAGAGGGGTAAAGCATCTCGAGAGGGCCGCGGTCTCATAGCCTGTTCGCAGCGGGCGACAATGGTCCCGCATACACAGTATGCTTGTTTGCGGTCTCGCAAGACCGCCTTTGATAGCAAAAGCGAAGGAATTGAATGAGACTTACGGAATCTTCGCCCCTGGATGGGACGCTCCGAAGCCATGAAAATGTAAACGATGCCACTGTTCCACGTTCGCCATCGAGGAAGCCGAGAATCGCGCTGCCGTTGATTTCCCTCAACGCTTTGATCTCGTCGAGGAATTCTGAAACACACAAGAACGAAAAATTAGAAAGTTACGAATTCAGAGATAACGTGTTGCGATAATTTCGGCTTGTTAGATTCCACTTTTTACAAATTTAAACGAGCTTCGAAGTCTGATTCGGCTTACCGAATCTCACCTCATCTGAACTTTCAATCGCTACGTTTTGATATAATAGGAAAATACTGGTCACGCGATGGGTTTTCGAATATTACATTGCAGATAGCACATACGTGCTACATTTATTTAGATTCAAAAATTTGTAAATGCGACCAATGGTACTAGAACCCACGCATTACTTAAACTAATAAAGTAATTCTTTATATTTATTTCAATTAAGATAGACAAATGTTTTGTCTTCCGTTAAACTTCGACAATTTTGTGTTATACAAATTGTTCTACAATGCAAGCAAGCATTCGTTGTATTGGGTTGTCCGGAAAGTTTATGTCGATTTTTGGTAGGTGGCGCAGGTCTGAATATATCGAATTGGTTGAAAACAAATAACATGTATACATCCCTTAAAGGGTGGAAAGGTTGTGGAACAAAATGGCACCTATGTAATTCGATAAATTTATATATTAACCTTTTGCACTCGAGACATGACTCTCAGTCACCATTAGGTTGGTTTTCTTTAGGTTTAATTTCTTTGGAACTCGAAGTGCCAATAAAATGATTGTCGTTGAGGCAAAGGTGACCTGATTCTCAAATCTCAAATTAGAGATCTCATTCGAGAAGTCAATATAATCTTAGCATTCGTGGCAATAGAATGCTAAGAAAGCATCTCGAAGGGTTCAAATTCAAATGTGCCTTTAAATTTCCCTTAGAAATTGCCACGAACTTTCTGCACAACTTAATACGTTCCAAAGGGTGTTGCAAAATTGCATAGAAGGTTTTTACTTTCAAACGTGAGAAAGAATACTTTGAATGATCAAAAGGGGCCCCACAGTTGCTGTATCCGTGCCTAAGTAGTTCGTATAAAGAAATTCTTGGCCTGTAAAGGGTTAAGTTCATATCGCGAAATCCGGAGCATTGTATCCTGTCAAAATTCGATTTCACTTCGTAATCTACCGCGCTAATCTTCTCGGTGTCGTGGAACAAGCCGAGTGTGCCACGCGTGTTCCAAAGCCGATGAGGGAAATCTTAGAGGAAGTTGATAGCTCCAGACCCTTCAAGTTGGCCTTTATAATGTTGCTTCGTGTCTCAAAGTGCAGCCAACAGTTTCAAGGTGGCACGTGTAACCGCATTGTTAAACTTCCCGCTATCACGTACGCTTTGTAACTAGAAAGTATGAATATTATGGTGGGAGGAAAGTTACCAGGACATCAGGGATGTTAACCACGAACTTCGTTTCGATGGAAATAAACCATTTCTCAACAACACTCCCCCGGTGTTTTTGCTTCTGAATAAACCGTGACGCGGTAATAACGAACTCTTTCGACGTATCGTGCTGTGCCACTTTATGTTTCATCGTGTTATAATACTAGTCGCTGTCGGCAACTCCGCCACACGTTATATTCTGACGTCCTATAGAAGTAAAACATATTAATCATCACAACTTCTGATTCGATTTTATATGAAATGATATATGTATTGTCCATAAATACGATTTCAGGATATTCTTTTGCTTTGTTAAAAAAAATATATTGATATACCAGGGTGTCCCAAAAATGTTAGAGGTTCTTGAAAACGTCTTTGAAGGACTTTGAAGGACCTCTAACATTTTTGGGACACTCTATACGTATAAGTAACATAATATATGTATGTCCATAAATATGATTTCAAGATATCCTTTTATTTTGTAAAAACGAGAGAGAGAGAGAGAGAGAGAGAGAGAGAGAGAGAGAGAGAGAGAGACTTTTTTAATGTTCTCGTTGTCTTTCAAATATTTCTACCAAATATTAACAAAAACTTTAAAATCGTCGTAAATTTAATGTCACCATTGGCAGCATCCTAAATGTAAAACAGCTTTACGAGATTTACGCATTAAAACCACTTTTCGCATTTTATATAAATAACACGCGCCTCGCTTCACGTTTATTTCTTATACATTACTCTACGTTTGTACCTGGAAAATCGAAAACAATTGGTGTTGTTTCAAACTTTCAAAAAATCTCTAGCGAACCCCGTTGCTATAATCGAACGGCAACGTGTTAACCATTTGCACTCGAGGCCTTCGTTTCTGGTATCTATCAGCAGCTCGAGATGCTTTTTTAGCATTCTATTGCCATGAATTCTAAGCCATCAAGATTTGAGAATAAAGTCACCTTTACCTCACCGACAATCATTTTATTGACACTTCGAGTTCCAAAGAAATCAAACTTAAAGGAACATTATTGCTGGTAAATTTAATACGTGAAACCTAATAGCGACTGAGAGTAACCTCTCGAGAGCAAAGAGTTAATATCACAATATTTTCCAAAGAATCTAAATAATCTCAAACTCGTGTAAACGTAAGATTCCATTAGGAACAACTCGCAGCTAAAACATTATGCTAAATTGTTTGCTCTTTCCCACATAATTTCGAGAACAATCAAGAATGTTATATGCAAAAAAATTGAATTCCCCCTGTGCTCAATCCCTAATGGGTTAAACGCTTTTGTAATTGGTTTTCCATTCCTTCGTCGCTTTAAAGACTCACCCTCGATTCCTCAACGTCGCTTGCGAGTCACCCTATACATTCCCGTTCGAATATCCCTCAAAGAACGAATACATACCCGGTACGTGCGTGTGTGCATACGCGCGCGCGCGTGTACATCACTCGGATCCCCTTCTACGAGTACATCCATCTCCGCTATCCGGACAAAGCGAAGGAAGCCGTATGTGCATTGAACATTGATTTTAAACGCGAGTCGTGCTACGAGACTGCCCGTAAAAAAGGCCTGAATCCGCCCCAGACTTCCAAGAGCCTGTTTCCCGTTCTAATGGAAAACTGGAAGCGCCGAGTGCACAGACACGATAAATTGATATGGAGAAGGATCTCCGAGATGTCTATCGGCTCGGCTCTGTGACAAGCGGCTTCGTAGACAATGGCGTAGTTACGTTCACATTCACTCGGAAACGGTTTCCGTATGGCGCGCGAGTCGATTCCAAGAGCAGTTGCCCAACGTTTTATTACTTTTTCTCTGTTGAGCCACTTCATGAATGCATGTTTCGCGTTCGAGAATAATAGCTTCGTCCTACTCGACGCTACCAAGGGTGGTTCTGCCAGGGAATTTATGAACCTTCGACTTCTAGTCCATCGAGACCGCCTTATTTGTTACACTTTTAATTTCGCTATGATTTACAAGTACGAAAGTACTGTATAGACTAGTCCACTAGATTTTACCACGTAGGTTCACGTCGATGTTATCATGCGCAGCGAAATACAATTCAGGTAGAATTGAATGGTTTCCAGTTGGGCACGTTCGGATGTTACCAGTGTCTTTTGTAGGTGAACGCGTAGAGTATGAAGGTCATAAACGTTTTAAAAACGACTTGTATATTTTTTACTACGCTATTCGATGCAGCTTGATACTTTTCACAAGAATGTATTAGCCCGTTTATGTCCAGAAATCATTAGTTTAAAAGATACTTTGATTTTCGTGTTATTACGAAATCATTACGTTTGCATTACCAGTTAAATTGTAATTGGCAAAGTAAATCGTTTTACATCAAATTTCCGACTTCTTATTTATTTGAATCTTTAGCTTGTAGAATATTCGTAATCCTTCCCATATTTTGTCAAGAGGTGATCTTTATTATATCTAACAACGCTAGAACCAGATATTAAAAAGCTTAGCAAGTGTATGTGGAGTGACAATTTATTAATTCGAGATCCAAAAATGTTTTACTAACTTCAAAAACAAAAATGAACTTTTAAAAGCTCCTTTCGGTCTAAAGAATTTCATCGGTGACAGTGCACGTTTATAACACTATATAAAATAAAATATACATGTCGAATCGAGTAACCTTCTTCTTTTCGAAGTCAGTTAAAAAATACAAAGTAAACAGATTTATAGTATCGTCTATGCTTTGTAATGTACGAAGCCTTTTAACCTGCAAATAGGAACATAATTATTAGACATACGTTACTATGTTATTATTTATATCGATGTTCCATTAATAACAATTTAATTTGTTACTACATTGTTATTAAGGAGCGATGAATTCCTTCCTTCTATGAAAATTTAGTAGATGGAAAGTCGACAGTGTATACTCAACCCCTTGTTCCACGTCGAACGACAGTAGACACGATGAAGCCGCAGTTTTACTCGCTCATTAATCCTTCGGTGTCTTCTTATTCGAAATTCGGATTACATAGTGGCACGAGCAGTGAAAAATACATTACAGTGGAATTTAATTGCGTATCGTGGAAGGAGATCACGGCTTCGGAACGGTTCCTTTTTACAGTTCGGAGGGTGTATTATTCAAGACGATGGCGAAGAACGCCTTGTACCTTCTTCGTTTATTTAAAGGGTGAAAATATATCCCCAGCCCGAAACATTTCTCCGGACCTACATAATTCACCTGAGTTATTTTTCGAGGAGCATGAATGCTATTCCAGGGACGAGTGAGATTTTACCCTGACATATTTCGTTCGGGAACCTCTGGAGAACCGCGCGTGCGACGTTTATGTAACGATCTAGACATTTATCGAACGAGGAATCGTCCGACTTGTACGGTTCGGTGGATGATGAAATCGACGACTCGAAACTAAAGGCTCCAGCTTCTAAAAATTAGAAGAAAACTGAACTTGCCATGTTTTGTCATGTTTGTCATATTGTCGGAAGTGAACATTTTGGTTTGGTACTAATTGATCTAAAGAGCTCTATTTTGTGAATCGATAACACTGGTTTACAGAACGAAAAAATATTTCTGTACATTCAATGTCACTATATATTTCTTACGTATTTTAGCCCCGCTAAATTCGAAAATCAGGTTAAGAGAATTTTTTATGGATAAGTTTTCCAGGTATGAGTTATTGAATTTTTTTTCGTTTCTTTTCGTCTGAAATAGTTTTACG